GATAAGTATATTAATATTACAAATATATATACATATATATATATGTATATATATATATATTATGACCTATATATATTATAAACTATTATAATATTAATAATATATTGTAATAATTCGTAGTATTATATTGTGACTAGCAAAATGCATTATAAGTAATAAAGGTTGTCCTATATGTGAACTCTGACTTATATACTTTCTCTCTCTTTTAATATTTCTATATATATATATATATATCTAATATTATATTTCTATATATATATTATATATATATTATTTTTTAGTAGTTTACGTTTTCTATATAATATATTATATAATTGAATGATGTATAATACATGCTTAGTAGTATGAGTCCACTATTGAAAATTAATGTTTTGTCGATATTAATAAATCATTTAAAAATAGTATTCATTTATGTTTTATTTGAAAAAAAAAAAAAAATAATAAAAAATAAAAGCATCATCTTATTTAAACATATAATAAAATAAGAATCTACTATTATCGACGGTTGGTAAGAAAAGAATTCACAAATCATCAGTAAAGTAGTAAAATAGGAATCTACTATTATCGATTGATAATATTCTATCGTTAACGATTGATATACTAGAAAACTAAAATATAAAATAAATTGTTTTTACTGACAGTAGTATACTATACTATTACTGTATTTTGTTTTTATGATACTATTCTTTTTAAATTAAATTATTTATAAATTATCAATTTGTTAACATTCTTAAATAAAATAGAATATTTATTATCAAATATCATCTTAAGAAAGGACTGTGGATAACACTTTATGAATACCGTTTAAAGATTAGCTATATATATATATATACATATATACTGTAGTTCAAGCAACGTGTCATTTAATTTTCTGATCTCTTGTCAAAACTCAACATATCATAATTTTGAGAAAATAATATATATATATATAGATATAGATATATATTTAAAATGTGTATGTATTTATTAATGAAGTTAATTATTTGTATTATTGTTGTATTAAAAGAAAAAACTGTTACTTTTATGTGTAATAAGTATGAAAATTTAGGTTATATTTCGTTGACGTATAATATAACCTATAAAAAGATATGTTATCTTTTATGAATTACATTAATAAGCATTGATTTATTGTTTTAGCTGTTACCAGTGGAATATCCTTTATATTGTCTTCCATTATAACCGTACTTTTGTTCTCTGGGATGCAAATGTATCGAGCTTGGTTAACATCTTCCCAATTGCATACCATTCTTGGTGGTTATGTTGGATCATTATTATTTTTATTTGTATTAACAGCATTAGGTAATTTAGAAGCTACCGTATTTGGAAAATCATTTCAACAGAAATTATTTCCAGAAGGTCAGTTGTATAATTATTAATTTATAATTTTAATTTATACAATGTTGAAAATAGTTCATCTTTTGTATTACTTCTTTAAAATAGAACAAATTTGTTTTATAGAAATCTAAATATTATTTTTTATGTTACAGTTGTCTTCTCATTAATAATAAGCTTGATCTCATCAGGATTGGTTCATCGTGTAGCAACAACAACCTGTTTTTTGTTTTCCATGGTAACACTCTATTACATGAATCGAATATCTCAAGAAACTTATGCCGTACCAATACCAGCAATGTCGATGCATTCAAAGAAAAGAAAGTAAACGGTATGAGCATTGAATTTATTGCGTCATACTATTTTCTTGTATCGTCAATAATACATGAAGTAATATTTTCAATCTTTTATCTCGTTTTGTAAATTTTTCATTAAAAAAAACAGGGAACGTCTATGTCTTTAATCTTACATATCAATTAGAAAGAAAATAATCCTAATCCTCTTTTATATATATATTCGTACATATAAATATATATAAATATCGTAGCATCTAATCAGCAAAAGAGAAAATAATCTGAGAATTATTGAATATTATTTTTAATATCCTCAACTTTGTATATATTACAATGCTTTTTTAGGATTCTTTTTGTTTCTTTTATGTTTTTCTGCTTCTTCCTTGTCGCTAAAATATTCGTAAATTTCATCAGATGAATCGATACTAACAGGAGTACTTTTTTGCATCTGATCATCTGATTTTGTAGATTCTTTTAATTCAGATTGTGGCATAACGTGTTTATAAATAGCCAAAGCCTGAAATATTATCATAAATATAAATACAATTTTTTGTTTATTATATATATATATATATATATATATATATATATATATATATATAGTACGATGTGTGTTTCATTAAAAATAGAAAATAATTAACCTGAGTTATCAACGATGTTGCATCTCCCACGTTGCTTGGCAATATTATTGTATTATTAACTTTAGCTAATTTATTAAAAGCATTTACGTATTGTTCCGCGATACTCAAAGCAGCTGCATTTTTTGCATCTTCAAGAGAAAGCGAACTGGCTACTAATTGCAAACCTTTGGCACGTGCTTCAGCTACGGATACTAAAGCAGCAGCTTCACCACTAGCTTGATTTATTTGTTCTTGTCTTGCAGCCTCTGTGATTTTCATTTGACAAAGTAATTATTAGAAATGTTTATAAGAAAAATATTATATTACAATTGTGTGTTACTTAATTACCAGAAGTTAAAATTCTAGCAAGACGTTTGCCTTCTGCTATATTTACTTCAGCTTCCCTAACTCCTTCAGATTCTAAAATAGCTGCTCGTTTCTTTCGTTCAGCTTCTACTTGCATTTGCATTGCTTCCTGTACTCTATCCGGTAACTTAATATCAACTATATCAAATAATTCAATGTAAATTTCAATGATAAGAGTTTAATGTTATATTGTTAAATGTTTAAGTATTATTCAAACTTACGAATTTCATATCGAAGACATAAAATACCCCATGCTTCGCTAGCCTTATTAATACTTTCAACGATGGATACATTAAGACCTTCCCTTTCTCTAAATACCTTATCCAAAGATATTTTACCCAACTCTGATCTCATCGTAGTTTGTGCTAATTGCATTATAGCAAATTCTGCATCCTCAACACCGTAAGAAGCCAAGTAAGGATCATTTATTTTTAAGTACAGCACACCATCGATATCCAGTGTCACATTGTCTATAAAAAGTATTATCAAATGAAAACTTTCATTGTCAATTATTTAATATGATGATGATGATGATGATTATTATTATTATTATTATTTACCAAATGTAATTGCACTTTGATTTGGTACTTGTATACAAATTTCTTTTAAACTTTGTACATATTTAACACGATCTATAATTGGCAAGAGTAGATTCAAACCAGGTTCTAAAACTTTATGAAATTTTCCCATTCTTTCAACGATCCATGCCTAAAATAATATTTACAAGCAATTAATTACAAATATAATAAATGAAAAGTTAAGTTGAAATAGAAAAATAAAATCAAACCTCTTGTTGTGGAACAAACATTATTATTGTATTCAATGGTGTAACCGTGGATGCTTGTCTGACACATTGTGCTGCATATAAACTAGTACGGTGACTACCATTTTTTTCACCATTCAAAAATGTTTGCTTCTGTTATAAAAGATAATAATATATTTAATACATTAATAGTAGATTTCTTTTTAAAATAATAAATAACAATGATACATACTGTTAAATTACTCAAATTTCTGTTTAATAACCTCTTAGTAAGATTCATTTTGTGAATATACGAATATATATGTATGTGTATATATATATATATATACACGTTTTATAAAATAAAAAATAATCAAACACGTAAAAATATCAATAAACCTTATTGCAATGATGCAAAAAACCTTTAACGTTTCTACAGATTCTTTTATCACTTAGAATGTATGAAATACTCCACACAAATTTTTGTACTATTTAAAGGTTAGATGTCGCCTTGGTAGAAAATCTATATATAAATAAAACATAACATGTTAATATAAATGCATATGCGTGTTAGCATTTGTTTTTAATTTAATATTAGATAAATAATTAAATAAACATTAGTATTATAAAATAAATCAATAATTGTATCATTTTGTTTATAAGATATTAGTCTATAACTTACCGACCGAGTACGTGTGCAACGCCATCTGTCATTTCTAAAGAACATACATTACTTTAAATCACGACTGAGTGGAATGGGAAAGTCCTTTGAGTAAGAACGACAGTGTCGTCTTGTGTGATCTTGTGCCGTGTTCGGAATTGTTTTATCGTTTATGCATCATTCTCTAATAATTAACAATTCAAATTATAGTTACTTTGTCGTATAGTTCTTGTAAAGTGTTAAATAAACATTATGAGGATTTGGAGATCAGAACACACATTTAAGTAAGAGATATATAAATATTACTTCAACTATATATTACATATAGTTGCCATGTTTTATTTCATTACTTTTTCATTCTTGATCAAACGAATACGAATGGAAGTAAAAAAAAAAAAAAACTGTAATAATGATAAATAAAATGAATGATTATTTACTTGTGTTTTATTTTTAGCCACACATGGGAGACCGTGACACAGGCAGCTTGGAGAAAATATCCTAATCCAATAAATTCATCGATTATTGGAACGGACGTTATTGATAGGAAAGTTATCGATGGAATTTTACACACACATAGACTGGTTTCCTCTCGTTTTGGGTTCCCAAGGTGGGCTCAAGCAGTAAGTAGATTATTTTTTATTTCAATTAAATTCTAAAAATGTTTAATTAACATATTTCATGTATGTGTGTGTCTGTGTGTATCTGTAAAAAATTAATGACGAATTCTTAGGTTAGAATTTTTCTTAAGTGATAATACAATTGAATTCATTACAATGAATTGATGTCAAATTATAAAATATTTATGCATATGTATGTATATTATATATATATCTACATATTATGCAGTAAGACAGCCAAGATTATGACGTAAATGCATCCTTGTGACGGTCACGATTATTGAAAGTGTGTATCACGCGCTATAGGTAACCTAACCTAATCTAACCTATTACATTTATAAACTTTTTAATCATATGTACTTTATTTTCAATATATATATTTGTTTGTTATTTTTATTTTCATTCATATCTTTTTTATATTTATTTGATATTTGTTAACGTTTAATATTTCATTGTTACATCAATTTTATGTTACAAATAGAATGGAGTACAGTGGAAAATATATTGATGATTATTTTATTTGTAATATTGATATTTTATTATTTCTTTTTGAAAATATTTAATATTTATTTGAACAAATAATGTATAATAATTTATGATAAGTACATTAATTTATTTAAATGTTGTTACATTTATAAACATTGTTTCAATGTTAAACGAAAGTTTCATTTTTTTTGGTTAAAGGTGTTTCATTAGAAAGATATAATTGCAATTGTATTTGTAGAATAGTAAGTTTAACAAGATTTATTTAATTTAAGGGGGATTAACAATTTTATTTCAAATTATTTTGAAAATAATTAATATCATAAGTTGCATGAGTAATTATTTTCACATTTGTAGAATATGATTATTAATAGCTTTTTTATTATCCTTTGATGATTTTTTAAATACTAATTGAAAACTTTCTATCATAAATATTTCACTGATCAGGTAATTAAGAATAATATGTGAATAATTTTTTTTTTTAAATATATTTAACTTCAAGTTACTTTCAATATCATATAATTTAATGTAATCAAAAAGTACATTCTTTGTTATAAAAAATATGAATCATTACAAAGAACGTATCAAATCATTGATGAACTATGTAATATGAGTAATAAGTATCTCTTTCATTCAAGGTCATATTCTACATCATATAAGTACTTTTAAAATGGTTTTTTTTATTTTTTTTTTATACATCAGTGGATAAGTTAATCGAATTACAGCATGGGTCATCGGTTTGAAGGTCGCCCTCTGGTGATTCTCACCTAAATTACCCTAAATAACGACTTCTATAGGACCATTATAACCGACTTTTGGTCAAGTAGATAATTCGAAATAAATTATCGACTTATGGTCAAGGTTAGCTTCTGAGAAATTCATTTTAATTCCATCGTTAATTCAAAAAAGTACGTTACACTAATTCTTACATATATATCACATTTTTCTCGTAATTCCTTATCTAGTTTATTGGAATGTTCAATTGGATGATGAGAACTCAACTTAAAGCTTGTTAGGTTTACTTATGTAACACGATTACGTTATCACTTATTTCTGATCAAAGTTCCATTAATCGTTAGACAAAAAATATTTGAGATAAAATTATTTATTACTAAAAAGAAGATTAAAAAAAATATATGGCAGGGGAATATTTCATATATTTCATTCACATTTATATAAGAAAGTTAATCAGGAATACAAACTTTATAAAAAAAAAAGAAAAGAAAAAAAATGTATTCATAGAAACAACTGTTCGTTCCATATTCATGTATGAAAAAAAATTCAATTAAAAAGATTTCGATCTTTCTACCCATGTTCTATCTCTCTCTCTCTTTCTCTCTCTTTCTCTCTCTCTCTCTCTCTTTCTCTCTCTTTATATTGAACAGAACAAAATATTCAATTGTATCGTAACAATTCAATAATATTCAAATACAATCGAGCAAATAGTATAACGATAGTGAAGTTTAATGCATCACGAAAAATACAAAAAGGAAAAAAGAATGACGGGGGTTGAGGATGGTGGTTGGTAGTAAAAAAAAAAAAAGTAACTAAAAGGATCGATAACGTTTTGTAAGTTGAACTTTAGCGGATTGAAACTTACCAAGAGGGTAAAAGGGGGGGTGGATTTAACAATGATGGTGGCAAAAAACTGTTTTATCGGCCGAGCGAACAATCAACATTTGAACGAATGCACACCAACCAACCCCGAACGAGTTAGTAGAGCTGCTACGAAACCGGAAATTCAAAACTTTTAGAGGAAGTCGTGAGCAAGAAGGAAGACGTGCAACATTTACCCTTTTCTTGTACAGTTACTAGATAGGAGTAATAGTAGTAAAAGATGAACGTGAAGAAAGAAGATGAAAAAGATGAAGAAAGAAGATGAAGAAAGAAGATGAAAGATGATAAAGATGAAAGAAGAAGAAGATGAAGAAGATAAAGATGAAGAAAGAAGATGAAAGATGATGAAGATGAAAGAAGAAAAGATGAAAGAAGAAGAAAATGAAGAAGATAAAGATGAAGAAAGAAGATGAAAGAAGAAGATGAAAGATAAAGATAAAGATAAAGATAAAGATGAAGAAAGAAGATGAAAGAAGATGAAGATGAAAGAAGAAGATGAAGATAAAGATAAAGATAAAGATAAAGATGAAGATGAAGATGAAGATGAAGATGAAGAAAGAAGATGAAGAAAGAAGATGAAAGAAGAAGAAGAAGAAGAAGATGAAGAAGATGAATAAGAAGAAGAAACTTAGAAGAACTGAAGGTTTTAGGATGTTAAAGGATGAAGGGTTGAGGTGTATTAGTAAAATAAAGACAGATACAGAGAAAGAGAGAAAGAGAGAAAGAGAGAGAGAGGAATAGGGATTGAAATGGAGGAATATCAAGGGAATTGCAAAACAACAAGAGCAACTGTATCAACTTTCATAATGAGTGCGCTCAATGTTACGCCATTTGGCAATCGTCCAGTTAGTTTTGGAAAGCAAAAGATAGTCCTTGGAAATACATGATATTCTCTCTCTCTCTCTCTTTCTTTCCTATTTTCTCTCTTCATTTCTGTTTTTCTTTGACTTTGTTTCTTTTCCATTCGATGTATGTATGTGTTAGTATGTATATATGCGTATGTATATGTAATTTGTATATGTATTTTACTCTTTAAGCATAGTTGCGTAGTTTTCTTTTTTTATTTTATGTTTTTTTTCTGACTCAGTTTCTCTCATCTCTTCTTTCTTCTTAGTTATATTCGTCAGGCTTGGTTTAACGTGCCAATCGTGAGAGAGAAAGAAAGAGAGAGAGAGAAAAAGAAAAAGAAAAAAAAAAGGGCAAGGGATTTCAACGTCGAATCCCTTTTCGAGCTAGCGAATCGTTTCCTTTCGGAAGGATTTTCTATAAGCTCAGCTATTTCCTAAAAGCTCGTTTCGTTGTACTGAGAGAGAAAGTGAGTGAGAGGTAGAAAGAAAGAAAGAAAGAATGAATGAATGAAAAAGAAAAAGAGAGAAAAAAAGAGAGAAAGAAAAAGAAAAAGAGAAAGAGAAAGAGACAGAGAAGGCGAAAGAAAAAGCGTGTAAAAGAGAGAATTAAAGTTAGAGTTAGAGTTAAGAGTTTCAGATACGGTTGCTTGGAATAACGCAACGATTTAATAAAATTACATTTCATTTGAATGAACGATGTTTACGTAAAATTACAATTAAAAATTACAAATTATAATTTAAATTGCTAAAAATTAATAGAAATTATAAAATTGTATGGAGAGATATAAACAATACATATAATATATAAGAATATATAATATCTATATATATATATATAATAATAATATAAATTATATATAATATTAATATAATTATAATATAATATTAAAAATAAATATTTAAATAATATTAAAAAGAAATATTCAAATAATATTAAAAATAAATGTTTATGTAATATTCAAAAATAATATTCATATAATATTCATACAATATTGAAAAATAATATTCATACAATATTGAAAAATAGATATTTATACAATATTGAAAAATAGATATTTATACAATATTGAAAAATATATATTTATACAATATTGAAAAATAAATATCTGTACAATATTCCAAAATAAATATTTATACAATATTCCAAAATAATATTCCAAAATAATATTCATTTCGAAATTTATTAATGGTAATAACAAAATGTACTATTTTAGTACTTTTTTTAGGAGTTTAGTACTTTTATGGAGAGAATAAAAAATCTTTCATCAATTGGTGCATTAAAATATATCATTCCATTTTTAAAAAATATCAAAGTTCATCTTTATATATATATGTTATCCTTTATGTTACCCTTTATATTCGTCCACCTATAAAATAACTAATAATATTGAATTGACCCTTAAATCGTTCAACTTTTGTCCAACACATTGTTTTTTTCAACCATTTTTGATGGAAGTTATTTAAGTGAATCAATTTTAATATGACACTCTGTATATAAATATGTTTATAAAAATGTGTTTGAAATAATTTAACCATAGTTGTGAAATTATTCGTTGAATTTTCCATTTGTCTACACCTAATTTGTCTTTCCCTTGATCATGTTTGTTAATCAAGGTCCTATTTTATGTATGATTTAGTAGTACATGTTATTTTTAATGATAGTAATGGTATTCAGTTTATCGTAATAGTAATAGTAATAGTAATTGTGATATATTAAACGATAAGAAGTTGTTTAGTCAGAATTTAATTGAAATATCTATAATTAATGGTGAAAGGACTGTAATTGAAGTGCACTTAACACATAGTACAAATTACAATCTTTATAATTATCTAATTATACACGTTAACACGTTATTAATATCACGATAAATGATTGCTATGGTAATTCGTTGAGATATGGGCTAGGGGTTGGAAATTTTTAAAGAAGTTTGGATGAATTAAATGTTTTTTTTTTTTTTTTTAACTTAATTGAATGTTTCATTGAATTATCATAATTATTGATTGAATTGTCATAATTATTATTAACATTGTAATATTTTTGTTTCATTTTTGTTTTTGTTTTTTTGATTTGTTACAGTTAATCGGTCATGCCAAAATCTGTTATGCCAGTGAAAAAAGCGAGGTTGATCCTGTCAATCGGGAGATGACACTCAAAACAAGAAATGTAAGTCATATTTTTATTTTATACATTATTTTGATTAAATTTTACAAATCTCTTTTGTTTTTTGTTTTTGTTTTTTTTTAAATAATAACACGATAATAATTGCATCTACAAATACTTATTCGATATTTTATACAGTTCTTTTCTTTTTTTTTTTATTATTCATTAAATATTTGACACTCAATTTTCTAATTAAAGATTGACTCTTGTTAATTG